TTCCCAGAACCCACAAAGCTGCTCACAAACATCTCTAACTCTAGTTACAGGGGATTCGATGCATTCTTCTGGGCTGTGTCAGCACCAAGCAGGCACCAGGCATGCATGTGATGCACAAAGATGCAGGCAAAACACACGTATGTATAATAAATATTTTTAAGTTAAAATAAAAATCAGCCAGGCCATAGTGGTGCACGCCTTTAATCCCAACACTCAGGAAGCAGAGGCAGTCGGATCTCTTTGAATTCGAGGTCTACAGAGTGAGTTCCAGGACAGCAGGGACTACATAGAGAGATCCTGTCTCAAAACAAACAAAAAAAACTAAAATAAAATCTTGGGGTCACCTGCGATTTCCTTCTTTTCCTGTCATCCCATTTCCTATTAGTCAACCATTTGTAAATCCATCTCCACTGTGGTGTTGCTTGCCACTGGGGGAGCCTGCCTTTGGGAACCCAGAGGAACTAGAGAATGGAGGGGCAGCAGCGCCACGGCCAAGGAGAGTCGAACTCAGAGAGTCTTCAGGGTCACTAGGCTGGAGCCCAAGCCTTGGCTCTGCCCCGCCAGAGGGCAGCCGCGGGGCCTCCTGGGAGATGCAGTTCCCGCGCGCTTCCAGCGGCCTGCGCGCGAGCAGGTGCCAACGGTGCCAACGACACCAACGGTGCCCAAGGAGCCAGAGGGGCTGGCAACCGAAAGGAGAGAGGCCACGTCCTGCTGAGCCGCCGAGGGATCAGGCTAGCCCGAGGTGGGGCTCGCAGCACTGCCTCTCCAGAGCCCCTGGCCACCATGGCAGTGGTTTACCGTTGGTGAGTGCCAACCCCTTGACCTCCAACAGTCTAGCTGTGCCTGTAGCTGCCTACGTTTGTCGCCACACGGTGACCCTTCCCCGTGGACTGCCACACCGGAAACTCCAACCTCTTTCTCCCTACGTAGGAAGCTTATTCTCAAGCCTCCCCAACCCTGCCCCCTGTCTCCGCCCCAGAGCAAGCCAGCCCCCCATCCCCTCCACAGTAGGGGAACCAGAAGCCTAGCACAGGTAACTTCCCCTTGTCCTTCCGTTGCAGGGCCAGCTGCCAGTCACTGGGCAGCACCTTAGCTGCTGTATTCACCATGCTGAGAGAGGCGGCTTACATCCTGCCCAGAGAAGCAGGACGCCCACAGAGGCATGCCCACCCTCACTAAGGTGAGTGCTCTGTGGGAGGAAGGCCGGGCTGAAAAACCTGGGAATGGGAGGCCAAATGGCCTTC